TCATGACTCTTAGTACGTGGGTTCAAATACCTGGCGGAGGTCATCGAATTTTTAAGGGCGGAAAAATTCAGGCAACAAGTCCTCCGGGAAGGACTTTAAGCTGTGTGTCCCGTGTCGTAACTTTACGGCACGTAAAAGAACCTCATATCCCCAAAGGGGATCACTGAGCCAAATTCCAGGACGTTTCCTGCCCAACAATAGTCTCTAAGGCCTCTGATAGATGGGGGAAGCATTATAGACACCGCTAAGCAAGTGGCCGAACTCGCTTGCTCGGCGGGACTGATGGTACGCACCATTTATCGGTAGGGTATAGAGACTGGTAGAATATCATAGAGGGAAGCACAATAGATCAAACCTCAAATCCATTTGTATAATATATTGTATGTATTGAGCAGTTACGTGTAGATTCAGTAATTGGTTTTAATATTATGTGTCTACGATATCTATCACGATGCCCCATAATGAGAAAGTTACTATTTCGACTCTGCTTCGAAAACGCAATACGAACTAAAATCATTCCAGATTATCGCAGAACACAAGACTTTTCTTCCGCCAAGTTGGCTACCAAAAGCATAACTTTCCTGAAGTTATGTTCTATACGTTCTATACATTTTCTATCGTTCTCTGCGATGTTACAATTGTTACCACAGGTCAGCGAGTTTGTTGCTGTTTAATATTATGTCGTCTCGTATTTTTCCCTGCTAAGAGAAACAAATTTCTCGTATAATCATTTGTTAGGCCTGCTAAATAGGGGAATTCGCGTATTTCGGTTCAATTGCAAGTTCGTATATGAAGTGATTCAGAACAATGAATGTAAATATTAATTGAATTATCAAATAGGCATCTTTTGCTAATCCATGAATTATATATAGTAGATTAAACTAGTACTTCAATGAAAACCGGTAGACGTGTATGACAATGGCGGCTGTCGAAGAAGTGTCTGAACTCGATAACAGTCTAGATCGTTTAAGTATTGCTTCAGAGGATAGTTTGAATCGATCAAATACAGATGATGTTATTAAAGAAGACGAAGGGTCAATTGAGAAGTGGGGATTTAGACTGAAAGATTTGTATCGTCTGGCCTTAAGATTTTATAAAGGTAAGCAAGAAGCCAGATTCAGTAGTGTATTCATTTATAAGTGGTTTGGATCGGTTGCTCTAAAAAGTATGTAGCATACTTTTAAGATAATGTGCAGGAGATGCTGTGAAGGAATGATAATGCTAATAAAATGGTGGCGAGGAGTTCTGCACATGTGTGCCACTAAAAGCGTTAGTTTATTCAAGAAAATGTCAACGTTTCCAATATGAGCTATACTATAACCTACAACAGCTATATAATTTAAATTTGTTATTTGTTGTTTAGAATTAAAAAATTGTATCCACCCCATCCAAAGATCTCTCTGCTTTCATTAAATGTATAAAGATTCCTGGAAATGGTAAGGGACTTTGTTTGTGTAGGATAATTCAGTGTGTGGTTAATAATTAGTAGCCAAGATATATGAATGGTGAAATGGAATATGGATGGGGAAGCATGGGGGAACAAATGTGTAGAGAAAACCCTGGGAGGCTGTCAAATGAAAGAATGTAAAGGTGTGATACAATGTTGCTCCACTACAAGTATGGGAAAATCTGAATACTTCAGGGGTTTGAATAGTGGATTCGCTTTATGCAAAACTTGATGCAGACTCATTGCTTGATTTTGCCATTCATCGCAGACAAAGTGAAACACAAAGTTGAAAAAACATGTGTAAGAACAATGAGTGTTCACAGCATGGTGTCACATGGCAGACAGATGCAATAGGCTTGTGGAAGTATGACTTTGGTCTCGCCCACTCATCTTCTTTCACTGAGCAAGTTACAACCATAACAGTCTGGAAACTCCAATACCACCTCATGTCATCTCATTTCAGAAAAACTATAAGGTTGTGCATATTTACTTTCAGAGTGCCAGTGAGTGACATAACAATTGCACTGAGCTGTTTGTTTTTGAAATTGTAATTGTTGCAAGTGGTACATCTAAAATAATGTCATGTCTTTATGCACCTACACCTGAAACAATGCGAAAACTGCGAGTTTGTGTTATAATTACCCCCACTAATTTACTTTTTCATTCACAGATATTTGCTGCAATTTTCTAACAATGTGCTTACTCAGCATGTGTACACTCCCTAGCAGAGAGAGAGAGAGAGAGAATCTAACTAATTGCACTGTTTGTGCCTGATTATTGCAAGTTTTGTGAATATAATTGCAGTTTTGTAGTTTCCAACCAATTTTGTTGTATTGCACATGCATAAGTATATAATTTTATATGTGTTTTTTTTAATAATAATATGCCATAAAGAAAGCTTAAATTTAACAGAGAACTTCAAAAGCATTCCTCTGCTCCAAAGCTTGGAGAAACAAATTGAAACAGCATTGTATTATGTGCAAGACTTTCATGTTTGTAGCAAACAAAGAAATTATGATTTAGAAGCACATATCAACAGTGCCAAGTGCATATGTGCGTGCGCATACACGCGCTCGTGTACAAATCCAGAATTGCCGTAATATCCCAAAGGTCAGCAAATTTCTTTAATGAACATAATTAAAAGAACAGAAGAATTGGCAGTAGGAATTGAAGGAGCATTGTCATTTCATGCAATACAATATTACAAAGGTGTCAGTTATAATTTACATTGTTCTCCCCCCATTTTTTACTCACAAAATGTGGCCAGTCTGTGTACTTAGAACCAAGTTAATCCAGATTTACTTTTATTTAATGTGATAAATGTAGTACAAACTACCTACCCACCCACCTACCTACCTACCTATCTATCTATCTATCTATCTATCTATCTATCTATCTATCTATCTATCTATCTATCTGTCTCCACTCGGTGCTACAGCCCTGGATGAGTCTTGGCCTCCACTACAACCAGTCTCCACAACCAGTGCATGCTGCCATAGGAATGGATCCACGCATGATGACCTGAGGCTGGTTGTTAGGTTTCTAAACAAAATTCTTTTTACAGAATGAGGTTGTTAGCCTCATGCCCAACTCCCAACATGGAGAACCAGGGTATCTCTCTTAGTCCGGACTCTACCCTTTGACCTTTCCGGCACGGGTGATCCTGCTGGTAGTCAGACTACCGCCAGCATAGTCACAGGTCACATAGTCATGCAAGACCCACCACCATGACAAGGTGGAGCCACCTTTGGAGGGGAAGTAGTACAAACTACCTTATTCTTTTGTGTTTTTAAGTTCTGGATATCGTAGTAATGTGGAGCCAGAACATAGAAAATGTAGTATTTTCTTGTTTTCCTGTGAGGCTTGCATTTTTGTGTGTTGGCAGAGAAAGAGGGAAAAGCTGTTCATCTGTCATATGAGGACAAATTGAAACTTGTGGCCTACACATGTCAAGTGAGTCATGGAAAGTTCAACTCAGACACTGTGCCCGCTTTAGGAGTGCTTGATGTAATTGGACGGGACAGACGGTATGTTCATGTCACTTATGTTGTTACTTTGGTTGCTGCTTTTGTGAAATTGAATTCTGTGAGCAAAGCTGAATGGGTGTAGTAGTCATTTATAATGTTAATGAAATGGTGCAGTTGTTCTCTGTGTTCCATAACTTCTTATTCTTGTTTTTTATTCAATTTACCCATAAATTCAGAAGTCCTCAGGTATCTGTTTTGTTCCATTTTTTACCATAACCAAACCATGCAGTATATTTATTTCCATTTAATTTAACATATGCATTTTAAGGCCTTTCTCTTCTTTATCATTACTTATTTTCCCCCTCCTTTTCTGTTCTTATGAATAATCATTTATGTTAATGCTTCATCCTTGGGCTGAAATACATGAACTTTGAATGAAACAATTTTTTAATTATGCAGTTTCCATCACGGGGTACATGGTAGCGTAGTTGGTTGAGGGGCTGTGCTACAAGCTGGAAGGTCACGGGTTCAAGTCCCAATGAAGTCATTGGATTTTTTCTTCGCTTGACCTAATCCTTCCAGTCGCACTATGGCCCTGGGGTCTACTCAGCCTCTAACAGAAATGAGTACCAGGAATTAAGTGCAGCCGGCGCGTAAGGCCGACAACCTTACCGCCATCTTTGAGCCAGTTGTCTAGATAATGTGGGACCCTCAAGGTCTCACATCCCTATGGGCCTTCACGGTCTGTTACAGGGATAGCTTTACTTTTCTTTTACCAGTTTTCATCACAGGCATTACCTGATGATTATTGTAATAATGAAGGTAATTAACATTGAAGTATTTGGTAATAAATATTGATTCCACATGTGAAGTACTGGGAATATGGTTTTTATTACCAGTATTTTGATTGCAAATAATTGAAGTCACAGATACTAAGTTTGAATTGGTAAGGTAATGGTAAAATCATCTGTGTACTTAACCCTCCAGTGACGGGCTCTGTATGTGGCATGCCAGTGGATTCTGTCACATGTCGCCAGGCTCCGTACCATGCGCCCATATTGCAGCTCTAAGTTTCAGCTCGTATTTTGAACCATTGTTTTTCATGTAAAGTAATTCTTTTGGTATGAAATTAAAGAGGAAATTTCAGGTATCATTTCATATATTCGTTGTCCCAGTTTGAACTTCCCGCGGGAGTTGTAATACATTTGAATTCTTTGAAAAAATTTTCAATTTTAACACTTTGTTACCATACAAATCTACCTCTGGCTAGGGGAATTCTTATGATCTAAATATGTTAGATCGATACTGTGTGCTATCCTCTGTGTTGATCAAAAGAAAACTTGGTTCTCTTAAGGCATATTCTGAACTGTGCTGCTTCAACATTGGCATTTGTAAGTACAAAAAGACACGTGGAGAGTCTATGACTTTGAGATGTGATGTTGACTCTAAGAAGTGTGTTATGACTGCCATGTAGCAAACCATAAACAGTTCACTAGATGAATGGTACTACTGTACTTCCCCTTTGTTCTATAAATACACACCATGCAGTCTGGTTAGCCAAGGCCAGCCACGAGGAACAAAATGCCCAGTTGTGTTGTGTCATGACCAGCGGAGAATATATTTACTTCAAACCAAATTAGAACAAAGTTTTATCAGATTTGGAATTATACACTGAAAATGGATGTTTGTGCTTTTCTGAATTCTATGGTAAATGGCAGAATCGAGAATAGCACAAACATCCATTGGAAGCTTTAATTGTTTCTTGCATCCTGTTGTGTATTTGATCAATATTAGAGTCAATTTTACTGACCACACAACATATGTTGTGTGGTCGGTAAAATTGACTGTAATATTGATCCATTGGGACAATATGCAAAACTATAAGGGACAAAAGAAATGTTGTGTGGTCGGTAAAATTGACTGTAATATTGATCCATTGGGACAATATGCAAAACTATAAGGGACAAAAGAAAAATTTATGAATGTGATGATAATATGTAGGAATAACACAAGGAAAAGAATAGATCAATTGTCAATCAGAATTCAGTTAATTGAGGGACTCTGTGAAATATTCTAATGCTGTAGAACACAAAGTGCCAGGTCGACATTCATCTGACAAAACAGTACCCCATCTAAGAGAAAGAAATTTTATAAGCAAGATTCCACCAACTGCTAAGAAATCAAAACCACAGAAACAACGTGTTGTGTGTCAAATCTGTGTACTGGTGTGATGCGTGTGACAAGGGACCCTGTGTGGAATGTTTTCATGACTAAGACGCCCATTGGCCATCATTTGTGCATGTCTGGCTTCCGCCTTTTCTTCACCAGCTCTGATTTACTTCAGCAGCAGTTCCATCATCTGCTGTGAGTCCATTCTAGCTTGTGTGGTGTTATGGTACTCGATGTGGTGTTAGACCAGTAATTCTTCCAAATTCGCCTAAGAATCCGAACTGATCCCACTTCTAACACCAGTTGTCATGTGTTGGATATATCACGCGACAAATAACTTCACGTGGGTCTCGTCGGATTCAGCAAATCTTTATTGGACATTCACTCTTACACACCGTACAATTGTTATCACTTCAACTGTATTCTGCGGCGGCTATCTTTCAACTGTCTTGTATGGCAACTAGGTTCCACTCTCTTGTATGGCGACTAGGTTCCAACTGTATTGGTGTTGTCTGTAGCTCTCGGCTTATGTAGGTGTTCTGCGGACTCAATAGAGGACACCTCTTGCCAAGGTTCAGTCTCATGTGTTCAGCAATCTGTTTCTTCAAGAACGCTCTTTATAGATAGGTAACGTGTTTCATCTCACAGGGTGTTTCACGACTTTAGGGCATAACTGCAGGAGGTGATTTCCTAGGTCTTTGTGATCAAAAAAGTTCATATAAACATGTGTCCAATTTTGGATGGTTACAGAGTTATGACCGTTTTTCCATTCCTGTACATGCCCTCGTGTGAACTGTGTCTGTCATCTGACAGGTCGCTATTTTTAGCCAGCTACAGACAGAGCGTTCTCGTTATCTCGACACTTGAGAACACCTAAGGCGTGGTGGGTTGGTATGTACCTGTGCGGTTCACAACCGAGCGGCGGCCTGTGTTGTGGCTGGCGGTGGCATTTTCGAAAATCAGCTTTAAGCACCAATAAATTCAAATTAAAAGTATTTTCACGAGGTTAACTTTACATTCATACTTTAAATGTATCATGTATTATGCTGGTTTATTATTTTATTCTGTTTATTGTCAGTAATCGTTACCTTCTATTCTGAGTTTAAAACGGTCATAACTCCATAACCGTCCAAAATCGGACACATGTTTATATGAACTTTTTTGATCACAAAGACCTAGGAAATCACTTCCTGCAGTTATGCCCTAAAGTCGTGAAACACCCTGTATGACATTCGGCCAACTCGGGTTGCTGCTTGCTGCATATATATATATATATATAACATTTGACCGTTAAACGTTAAGTGAAATGTTACACTCTCCAGTTTAAATATTTAAATATCCTCTGGCATAGGAGTTTGGTAGGAATTTAAATGCCCACTGCGGTGAAGGGTTAATCAGTGCCATGCCATGAAGACATCGGAAGTGAAGTATAGCTTCACAAATTATTAACCTTGGCACTAAATGGGAAAACAGTCCCCAGTAACCATTGGGTAGGAGTCAGAGTGGGACTCAGAGCTGGTCTGGATGCTCTGTAGACGAGAAAGTCTCTTTCCCCTGTTGGGAATCAGACCCATATTCCTTGGTCTTTCTGCCCATAGTCCATCACCACAGTTGTTATTTCATTACAGTTTTCTGCACTCATCTTTATGTTGCATTTTGTTTTGTGGTTGAACTGTTTGACCACAGAAAACCTAAGAGCATTTATGGTTTTGTATTAGGCACCAACACAGAGGCATGGCCTGTCTTTCCACATGCATACCATTTTTGCATTGTTCAGTTCTTAAAGTGCGATTTCTCTTTACATGGTTAGTAATGGAGCTCTTTGTGCAATGAAACTGCATAACTCATATCAGATCTAGGCACATTGTGTGACTTGATGCAATTTAAATGTACATGAGAGGTAATGCAAATATTCACACAAGGCAGAGTCATGCAGTTTTCCTTCTGGAGTATACACTTGAGCAGTTGACCCCATGTGGACCATCTTGCAATGTCAGTGGGTTCAGAAGTGTTCATATTGGAACTAGAGATGAATGAAGTTATTTGGGACACATTGTATGCGGAGCACAGAGACGGAAATTAAGAAGGGTACTTGGGATAGTATATCCAGAAGTGTGATTTAAGGATATGAAAATAAATGTACTCAAGAAGAAAGAATAAGTAAGTTTGATTTATGTGTTTTATAGTTTTATTAACCTTAAAATATTTAATGGTTTAAATCATTGTACTTTTGAAAAATGCTATGGAACTGCATCAGTGTCATTTGGAAAGGGGGAAAGATGGAGAATGAATTCCAGTATTCTGAAATGGATTTGCAACCCTGAACACTTTTTCAGCATTAGTGTTATGAAATTTATCAATCATTAAAGTGTCCTCAAAGTTTTAATGATCTGTTTGCCAGAGAGATTGTGTGGGTCATAATAGACCTTTCCATTGTCAACAGCAAAGTCAGTATCATTGTAATTATATCTATGAAATGTTTATTTGTGTGACAAAATATCAAACATGCACTGCATACTGTCATGCACTTGAAAGCCAATAGATGAAGATGCTCTTTTCAATCAGTAACCTGTTGCAAGTTAGAAGTAAGTTTGTCATCAGGCCAAATACTTCATACCCAGTAACCATGTAAGGTGCAGTTACATTTGTGGTGGGAAAAGAGTTTGGGCTTTAGTAATTGAATGATTTTGCTTTTCATTTGCTCCCACAGCCTTGAATTTTTAAGCTCTTGAGTTCCAATCTTTTCTGTATGAACCAGTTTCAGCATGTACAAAACAATAATTTGTAACTGCTATAGACCAAAAAATATCAGAAAGGTAATTAAAATATATTATATATATATAAAATGTAATAATATCGTATATATATATACATATACAGGGTGTCCCAGGAGGAATGGCCAAAACTTCGGGAGGGTGTTCCTTATTATGCTGATATAATCCAAAACACCTATGTCCAAAGTTGAATGGTTACGGAGATAATGGCTCGAGAAAAGTGTGGTCTTCTGGCGGGTCCACGCACTGTACCTGTCAGCTGAGACGCCTTATCTTTGTTTGTCCTTGAGTGCGGTGATTCACACTAGCCGTAAGCTCATGTGGCTCATATGCTACCTACAGAGCCTACAGAGTACGTTGTGGCAGCGTTGTGAATGGTTGGCATATTACGTGTAGTTGTGCAGAGTTGCTGAAATGCCTTTTGTGTTTTCACTTGTTGAATATTGTGATATGCATTTTGTGTATGGATTTTGTGGTCGCAATGCACGTGCTGCTGTTGAAGAGTACCAAAGGCGTTTTCCTGGTCGAAGGGTTCCATCTCAAAGTGTATTTATGCGAATTCACCAGACATTGCATGATACTGGTTCTCTTCCGAGTGTTTCTGTGCAGTCTGAAAGGGAGGATGTACGAATGATAAACACACGAGAGAACATTATTGAGATGGTTCAGAGAAGTCCGTGTCTGTCCACTCGTAGAATGGCCTCTCGCATCGGCGTATCACGTATGCAGGTGTGGCGAACTTTACATGATGAAGAGTTGTATCCTTACCATCATCAAAGGGTACAACATCTGGAACCAGGCGACCATGCACAGTGTATGGATTTGTGCCACTGGATAAAAGCTCATCCCGAACTGTTAAACGTCATTTTATTCAGCGATG